AGGGAAAGAAAGAGGGAGAGAAGGAGCAGGGGGTGGGGGTTGTTGCATGTGCCTGCCTCCTGGGCTCTTTACTGCCGGAGCTCCGCTCCTGTGCGCTCCTGCAGGAAATGACCGCTGCATGCACTTATCCTATATAATGTTGGTAATATTTGTTATTGTAAATGGAAAACCGAATAAAATTGAGTTAAAAGAAATTCTACTTTGAGAGCTACTAGCATTAAAGTTCTGAGCGAGCAATTTGGCGACAACCTAAATTAATTTGCTCTGAGCGAAGGCAAAAATGAGCTAAGGCAAAAATGTGTGAGCCAGAGGCTAAAAAACGGTGAGCAAGCTCACACTAACTCAGCTTAGAGGGAACATTGCTCAAGACTGGTTTGGTTTTCCCGGCTGGAGGGAAATTCCAAATGATTCAGTCCCTTGCTTTCATGAGACGACTGCGTTTTGGTTCTATTCGTATGGGGCTTGGAGGACTTTTTGCGTGTGTCCACGCGGAACAGCAACTTTCAGAGGCTTTCGGAGGAAGGAAAAGAAATAACATGGGGGAGGTGGGCTCAGGATCCCATGGGAAGCTCATGAACTGGGGGAGGGGGGTGCCATCAAGTGGCAGCCAACTTGAAGCGACCCTGCAGGGTTTTCCCGGCAAGAGAGGTTGTTTGCCGTTGCCTGCCTCTGCACAGCGACCCTGGACTTCCTTGCTGGTTTTCCATCCAAATACTAACCAGGGCTAAACCTGACAAGCTTCCGAGATCTGATGATTGCCCTGGCCCGGGCTATACAGGTCAGGACAAACTGCACTTAGACAGAACCATGAATGGGTGTGTCCAATTTCAATGTATTATGGTCTTAGACCAGCAAACAGTTCAATAAGAGGCAAGTAAAAGAGTAGGTAAAAGCAGGGCTATTTTGGGGGCAGGAACGCACAGGAACGGAGTTCCGGCTGGCTCCCGAGTTAGCCACGCCCAGCAGGAACTCATTAGCATAACAGGGCACACCAAACAGCAGAAACTCATTAGGATTGGCTATATTAGGGGTGTGTGGCCTAACATGCAAAGGAGTTCCTGCTACAAAAAAAGGCCCTGGGTTTTGACAACAAACAAGGTAAACAGAATAAGAAGCAAAAGGTGGGCGTGGCTGGATGACCACACTTCTGGTAACATGGGGGTGTGGCCTAATGTGCTAATGAGCTGTGCTGTCAGGGGTGTGGCTGGATATGCCGATGAGTTTCTATTGTTGGACGTGGCCTATTATGCTAATGAGTTCCTGCTGGGCTTTTTCTACAAAAAAAGCCCTGGGTAAAAGAACGGTAAAATGATAAAATATAACAACATCTAAAATTATAAACCGGAATCTAAAAAGTTTAAAATACAGAGATGGTAAAAATTAATGTTAAGATCAAAGGCTAAAAATAAACCTAGGCCTATCTGTACGTCTTTAGCTCGCAACTTTAAAAATTTCACTCAAGCTCCTGTATGCATTTTCCGATCTTTGTACACCCGTGCACAAAATTTAGCCACTATTCGGGTTGTTTCATGGTTCGTATCAGACAGAAGATAATAAAGTTTAATTTTGTTTGATCTGCCAGGGAAATTTCCGATTAGCGGCTCGATGAATTTTGATCACATTTCCTTGTGCCTAGGGCAGTTAAAGAAAATGTGTTCAACTGAATCGATTTCCTTTAGAGATCAAGGACAGAGCCTATGCATATAGGGGACTGATTTAAACCTCTCTTCCAGTACAGCAGAAGGTAGAGTTGAACTTCTTGCCAATGTAAAGGCTCTTCTGGAATTATTTGATTCAAGAAAATAGTATTTATTTATTTATTATTTGCAGGGCTATTTTTGGGCAGGAACACACAGGAACGGAGTTCCGGCTGGCTTCAGAGTTGGCCACGCCCACTACAGCCAAAACCACTGTGTGCGTGGCTACAGAGGGAAGGCCTGGAGAGCAACCCCCCCCCC